CCGGGTGTTTATTCGTACTCAATGCGCGTGTGATAGACGCAACAAGGTCGTCCTATGGAGAAGGAGTGAGTCTCGGGTAGTGACGTCTCTCGGTAGACTTACTTGGTACTGGTCGTATAACTCCGTCCAACATGAGATGAAGGCTGCATTGAAAAGGTCTAGGCCAAGAGGCGGATGTGTATCAACTAATGGCACACAAGCGCGAAGCGCTGGAGACATGGACTCTCGGAGTAGTTCAGTTGAGAATTTCTTGAACCATTCTTGCCAGTCTTCACGAGACTCGACTTTACTGACATCCCAAGCTTGCTTTAAATGTTGTTGATTGACAACGAATTTCAACGTCTCTGCTAGATTGACTGGATCTGGAGGAGGTGGATTAGACCATCTAACAAAGGGTAAGCATTTTTAGCACTGGGCAACGGATACGTGCGTACATATCAACTTGTCCATGTTCTATGGGTAATCGTTCTCCATTCAAAAGTTTTGCGATCAATTGTTCATATCGAGGCCAGTCGATGCGATGAGTGAGCAAGCACTAGGGCCTTTATAAGTTTGACTGGATTGGAAATGTCACATCATTTTCATACCTTTTTGACGAGAGGTACGAATACAGCAAAGTCAGCACTCAACTGAAAAACGAGGGCACACATCGTTTCCCTAATTGCCTCTCGAACGTCTTGAGGAGATCCAGGTAACAGCCTCACAAGCGGGTGTACAATACGTGATGCATGGTCCGAGATATTGACACGCTTAGCTAGACCAGCTATGGTTTTGAGGGCAGTCTTCCGTAAGAGGGGGCTAGCATCGGGTCGCTCGACAGCAGATAGGATGAAAGGTAAGACTATGTGCACATACTCCTCAACATTGCTAGAAAACGTGAGGAGTGCGTTGAAAACTCGTATTTCAGTGGCCTGTCGCTTGTCTGGGGATGTCTCTTTGGAAACCGACAGGAGCATGGGTAACACAGAGGGAAGATGAGGTTTAAAACTCGTATCCAGTACCCTTGCCAAGCTGTCTATAAGCGTTATGATTTGCAGGTGAAGGACCCGGTTGTTCCATAGATCCCGACACATCTCCAATATGTCTTTAACAAATGGGCGGACATGATTGGTTATAATGTCAGTCAGGGATGCCAGCTGTTGGAGATAGAAGTCTTGGTGACGGGCATTAGAAATACGTGTTACATTGATGAAAGCGGGTATAATCTTTCGAAGAGGATCAGTTACAAATTAAGAATGGACGCCGTGTATGTACCTGTGGTAGATATGCGACGCATTTGAGACCTTGGTTTTTAAAGATCGTCATGATAACTTCAACAACTCCCAGATACTGTGTAGTTAATGCGCCATCGTGCACAATATTTAGTAGTGCCGACATAACCACCGTTTGGAAGTATTCCTCAGGACTCATGCCTGCCATTGTCATGGGTGCCTTCATTTGAAGAGCCGACTTGTCTTTGAGAGGATCATCTTGAGCCATTCTCTATACTATAGGTTAGCACGTAATGTCAATCATTCAAGCATGAACCTACTTTGCGACGCATGTATGGATCTACTGCGCCTAGGATACCCAGAAGGCGTAAAACCTCCCGTCTAGTTTCCATGCTGGTGTCTGTTTTCAATAAGCGCGCAAAAATAGTGAACAACACCGGGTGTTCGACTAGTGGATCCACCACGTAGCCGGTGTTAGCGCACAATTGACCCATTGTCAAAAGTGCGGCATCTCTCTTTGTAGTAGGAGTTAGGGGGTCTTGTAGGGCGGCAAGTAGGATGTTCATGACTTCTGGTACATGAGGTACCATTTCATCCCCTCCTACAACAGCCAAAAGCCCAATACATTCGATCATGCAACGTGATACTACAATTTCTGTGTCACTAGCCTTGGGCAGGACCACGCGGAGCAGAGTAAGGGTATAAGGCTTTATCAGTCTATTGGTTGCTCTGATCAACGACGTCAAAAATTCAGCGCTTGTACTCTTTCCCTGACTGGAGGGTGTTAGCTATAATAGGCAGCTGAATTTAGCCATAGTGTAGACTAACCTCGATGAAGTGTATTCCAGCTCCGTCAGTAGTTGAATCAGCGTTTTGCGAAGAGCTGGCATGACATGCGCGGGGTTATAATACCCTACTCTCCCTATGATCTCAATCGCTTTGTACCGAACGTCGTATACTTCATCGTTCAGAGCCATGAATAAGAGTCTGATATGCTCGGGTTGGGAGAGATACTTGTCAAATCTCTCATGCAAATTTGAAAGAACTGTAGTTCTTATATTTGGGTCTATAGAACTAGTAAATTCGCGCCGAAGACCACATTGGTCGATATCGTACCAGTATCAGCAATTGAAACCATCAGAAGTTTCTCGAGAACCTCGTTAATGACATCGAGAGAAACGGCATTCCTGTGATGTAGCATGAATGACTCTTGCATGAATAGTCGGCAGCATGTGATAGCCGCTTTGAGTCGAATATCAGATTGAGCGTCCTCTAGGTAAGGAAGTGCGCAGGTCCTGACAAGGTCGTTGAGTTGATGACCTGTGGAGGTATTAGCAAAGGAAAATATGCTATCCTCGACATACCACTGAAATCAAAAGTAGCAAGGGTATCCAATGCTAATTGGATGCTCTCTGGATTACGGGCGGTATACTGATTTGATGAGGGCACTTGGGCCACTGGAATTTCGGGTCTGAGACCTGGTAATGGTGCTCCAGACGGCCGATGACTTTCCCCACTCAATATGAGTGACAACTTGTCCAGAAGGCGGTCTGGTCACGAAGATATTTAGTTCTAGATGCTAAAACTTCTGATGGCGTACCTTGAATTGAGCGTAAAAGCGGGGGAATAGATTTTGCACATGCTGCCAGCGAGCTTCTGACATATTCGTTGAATTCGTATGCAAAGATAAGGTCAAGTTGGTCGTGAAGTAGTTTAGTTAGATTAGGTCCGACGGCAGCAGCAAGCATGCTGATGCACTCGAAGATCACTTTGTCTGGCACAGATCCTCTTCTACTGTAGGTGGTGTCAGGCATCCATAATAAATACGCGCCACGCAACATACTTCCGCTGAGCGAGTGATTCTTTGATCTGTACCATGATAGCTGGCATGAACTGTCTCATTTCACTTGTAACTGATAGAGCGATTGGCCCAATAGCTTCTAACACTGGAGGAGAAAAAACGTTAGAGTTCCATCATGGAATTTATCGCTACTCACCAAACTGTTTTTCGGCAGGTTTTGCGAGCTGAGGTAACAGCCATCCCATCGTTTTATACAAGAATTGCTCATTAAACTGGGTCGGATCGTATCTGGCACAAACAGGCAAAAGATTTGTCACGGTCTTTCTGACTGCCATATCCTATTATAATGATGTCAATATCAGGATAGGAGCAAGGATATTACTTACTTTGTGCTGTCGCAGACTCAAAATCTTCTCGCATGTATCTGCGAAATGCTCTTCCATGAACATATTGGTAGACATCAAGAGCTCTCGATAAATCAAGAGAGAACCTTGTATAACATCAGAAGAGCTATTGGTAATCCCTTTTTGGGCTTCAGCGAGGATGTAGACGAATATCTGGGGGTTTGGGACTTTGTCGTGGTTCGCAACGAGGCTAAGGCATCTAGATAACAGGGTGGCTGCCACTTTTCTCACAGTTTCCTTTGCAAAGATTCAGATCCAGAGGAGTTTAAAGGGTTTAGTACTTACTCTAGGGTCACGCATGGGCGTCACCACCTTTTCCAATATCTGGTTAACATGCCTATAAAATTGACCGCTAGCGTGTGTAGCGGTTTCTATTAATATAATGATACCGGCATATCGACCATGCTCGGTCTTGTCTACAGTCATCAGATCGACGGCACGTAGAACCTCTGCATCCAAGACGGTTTCGGTGAAGCTAGGGCCTCCAACTTGAAGGATTTTTCCAAAAGTTGAAGCGGCAGCATTCATCACCTAGGGCTGATTAGTCAAAGGGAGTTCATGATTTGAAGCCGCCTACCGGCATTTCAGGCGTTGGCAAGACATTCTTGAGATAGCGGAGTAGTCGATACAGGTTTCTTTTCGTCTCCAGAGTAGCTTCTGATTCTAAAGCCAATAGCTTGTCTACATCCCATGAGCTCCAATGTCATGCTGCCAAGCTTTATACGAACCTATGGCAGCTATCCCTCCCAGTCGTTCCCATGTGCTGCTTGACTGGGATGTCAGAGGGAAAAGGATACCTTGATTCACTTCGTTCCAGATTTGTGGTGCTGCTTCCGGTGGATGGGTGGTGAGCCATGATTGAACCTAACTAATGTTATATCCGACCAGTAGCAATGCTAAAGAAGTATTTACATATTCGCATAATTGATTCACTCCATTTTCACGAGTTTCTGGTGTTCTGGAGCCCTAAGATGAGCAAGCTTACGGATGAGCAGTCACGATCACTTGCCTACTCTTGAGGTCGCCGAGAATGACGGCAAATTTGGCATCCATACTGCAATTTGACTACAGCAGAATGCCTCTGATACTGACCAGCAGTGACGGCTGGACCGCTTGCCTTCCTCACGTATAGTAGATAGGGTAAATGGTTGAGTGGTTGATAGCTCGACTAATTCCGGGTCAACAGTGGTCAAATCAACTTCGCCCTTGCTTCTTCGCCACTACAACCATGGACAGCTCAAGAAGTACTCCTATCCCTTCCAACACTGTGAATTCAGGCCGGTAAATATTTAGAAGGTTTACTCTGCATTTCCTGCTGAGCTAAATTATCTTTTGGCCAGTCTTTTGACTGCAGCCGACCTCCAAGAATATCGCCAGGTTCGTTTCCCTATTCCATATGCCCTCAGTAACACTCACTATTCTTGAAAGTTCTTTGCAGCTGCTAAACTTCATCGTCCTGTTTCGCCGACTCTGCCGCCGTCTCCTCCAGCCAGCCCTCGTGGGGATGCAAGCCTGACTCCCGAGTCATCTTTCAACTCAATGAAACGTAAACAAGACGATATATCTTCTGTAGACTCTACCTCAGGCCCGAACAAGCGGTTTCGACAACTAGACTATCATATTCCGCCTCGAACACGCCATAATACACATATTGTTCCAAACGAGGTTGCTAGCAAGCATATACAAAGGGCTACTATGTACAAACGCCAAGCTGATAAGGACCCACGCACAATGAGCTCGGCAGTTGGCGCCCATTTTTATGCTATTGCTGTTCTCAACTTTGCTTTTGCTTATCGTATACAACGAAATAATGCGTGGAAGCAACTCATCGCAATCACCGAGACAACTATCGATAGGTTCAATAAATTAAATACCAGAGAACCTAGCCCCAGATTAGATGTGTGGCTTTCATTCATGTAAGTCCAGACCAAGACACACTTTATCGCATTATTTATGATCGCTAGGCACCTCTTTAAGAACTCGATTGAAATACAATACGATCGGGACCAGATCAATAAATTCAAGATAGAAATCGAAAGACAGTTACGCCCCCCCCGCAACAGTTACCTACGGTAATCGCTCCGAACCATCCTTTACCCCCAAAGCCGGCCTTCTTAGACTCGAATGGGGCACCTCATTCAACATCCTCTCCTTATATTGGACCAGTACCAACCGCTCCAGAGGGCAAATTCCTATTAAAAGACGACCAAGCCAAGTTACTACAGGACGTTCTCTCTCGTACACGCCATGGTCCACATAATGGGGAAGCTCGTCGGCGGGTTCTAAAGCATCTCAACCCAGCGGCTCTGAGGGCACATTTTCCACGAACTTTCATGAGGGCGTTT